AATTTTTAAATAAGATTAATACTAATATATAAATTAACAACTTTATTATTATAAAATAATTGGATACTAATGAAAAATTATATAATACAAGAAGGATATAGCAAGTATAAAACTAATTGAAAAAATACAATAACAATTAAGTTAAAATAAAAATAAGATATATAATTATAAACATGAAAACATTTGAAAAAGCAAAATTTAAAACAGATGCAAAGGTTTTCTATCTTTAATAAAAGTAGAATTAATAGCAATTCTGATTACTATTATACTTCTAAATTTCAATACTAAGGCAACAATAATAATTGATAGTCAAAGTACAATTTATATAATACAATCAGAGATTTCACAAAAACAAAGAATAGCAAAAGAAACAAATATACTCACAACAATACTTATTTATAAAAGTTTAAAAGAGAGAACAGCAACTACTGAATTCAAAAAAATCAAAGTATATATAGAAGACAAATACAATAAATGAGCAGATAAATTAGCAAAAGAAGGCAGAAAGCTTGACCATATATATATTATAGGTATTAATTATCAATAGATAAGAGAAATAAGAAGAATACTTTAATGAAAGAGCAAGAATATTGATATACAGTAGATATTAACAGGTTTATAAAGCAATAATAAAATAACAAATGGATCAATACATGGGTTATATAATGAAAATATAAAATATAATTTAAAACAGGAAATAAGAAAACAATAAACTGAAAAAAAATATAGACAAGTCTTTCTCCATTAAAAATTAAAAGCTTCTACATTAATTAACAGAATTATAATAATAGAGTATTCGGATACAAACTGCTTAATAATAAGCTGCTCACCAAAAACAAATTAAATAAAAAAAAACTAGACTTATATAAAAACAAGACATGTTTATAATATAAAAAATAGAAGATGACCTGTGGGTCCATAGTGTAGTGGTTAACACTCCACAGGTCAGATCACAAGATACCAGTTCAACCCCAGGTGAAAGCGGTTGAACCGAATTAAAAATGGTATCTGGAGCCATAACCTGTTAAGCCTTATTTCCTATAAGAAGTCATTCGCACGCTGATCCAGTAGGATATTGGGATTGTGATCCCCAAAAAAGGTGTCGTGGCGCAACAATCGTCCGGTTGGTGTTATGATGATTACCAGAAGTTGCAAGGTGTATGAGGTGTCCGCTTTCGACAAGCAGATTTGGTAATCCTTCCCCTAATATCCGGTGTCTTTTACGCAGATCCCTGCCCTAGTCTCATTCCAATTCAGTAATAAACTGGTCTGGCGGTACTTATCCCAAGAAGGCTTCTGGCTATAAGTCCTATTCCTTGCAATGTGTAAGTCAGTGTTCAGGCAGTAAGCACCAGTTATAAGTACCTTAAACATTCTTAGGTATTATTGGACAGGTAAGAAATTAAATGGTTAGCCCAGCTGCAGGTGATGGTAAAGAGATTTATCCCCGATGGAGTAAGCAATGATTATATAGCTTTATTTGTCATAGATATTACCCCTAGTGCCCCCTTTCAACTTCCTCTTAATTCCTCTCCAGTTAGAAATAAAGCTGTCCGACTACTAGTAAAAATGCACATTACTGGTTCAATAAAGGAGTACCTTTGTTCAGTAGATTAGCCTCTATACCTAATATAGTTAGGAACAAGCTATAGCAAACATCATTATTTGAAGCAATCCTGATAAGTGTTGGGTATAGTTAACAACCGATACGTTATAGCATAGTCCTAGATAGTAATATCAAAAGATATATGTAAACATCGTTATTGAATAAATACTCAGCCAGACAATTATCGCTAGTGCACTTTAAAAAAAAAAAATAATAATTAATATACAAATATTTTTAATCTTCTTCTTATTCATTTAGCCATTTACAAACTTTTAACTATAATATAACTAGAAATAATTATTAAAGTTAATAAAAAATTCAAAAAATGAAATTAAATAAAATTCAAATTATCAATTATAATTAAAACTAAAAAACTATTACAAATTAATTATCAACAAAATCTAAACTATATAAAAAATATTTATATTAATATTAAAATAATATATATTTATTTACTTGAAAATTTTTTATATATATTTATTTGTTTATGAAGTAAAAATATTTTAATTTCAAAGAGAAACAAATTTAATAAATTAATAACAAAATATATATTAAAAAAGAAATTATTTTCAAATAATGCAAAACAAATATTTATAACCAATATAATAAGTAAAACAATTTTTAATTTAGTTCTAAATAAACTATTTAATAATTTTTTTTTTAAAATTCTTTACAAAATTTAAATTTGAAAACAATATTCTGTAATTGTTATTATATTGTTTTTAATAGAAGTCAAATAGAAAAGGTTAAAGTCATTAATCTATATAATACTTAACTATTCAAAATATTAATACTTGTAATATAATTCTAATAATTCTAAATAATAATACAATTTTATTGATAAAAAAAATTATTTTAGCAATTATATTATTATTTTGAATAAATATTAACTAATTAATATTTTTATTATTTAAATACTTATTAAATATAATATTAGTTATAAAAGTTACAATAGCTTATAATTAATTTATACTTATGTAAAAATTATTAATATAATAACAATAAACAATTTGTTTAGTAAAGGTTTTATATTTAATCTTATTTGTAATAAAAAAAAATAATAAAGCAAATTGATTTATTAAAAACTTATAATGTAATATAAATTAAATAATTAAATAATTATTTTTAGAATTAGGATTTATATAGTTATTTATAATATATAGTTATTTATAGTATATATAGTATAAATTAAATAGTTTAAAAGGTTTAGGTAGCCTAAAAGATTTATAAAACATATAATTTCTGAAATTATAATAGTATCCAGACAGTCTAAAAGCTTAAAAATATCATATAGGCAATTATTATATAAAATTTTTAAAAACTTTAAGTAGATTTTTAAAAAAACATTAAATTTAAATAAACATTTAATTTTTTTTCAATTAATTAACTTGATGTTTTATTAATTTTCAATAGTTGTTACTCTTAAAAAAAGTTTTATTTTAATTAAATTATAATAAAAATACAAATTTAATTATTACAATTCTTACTATATAAAAAATCAATATTAATAAAATTTTGAATTAATTAATAAAAAAGTTAAAGATAAAATTGAAAAATTCAAAATATATTTAAAGTTAAAAAAAATAGGTATTAATATTATTTAATATTATGTAAAGAAATATATTTTAATTGATAACAAACTTGTTAAAGCCTATAATAATTATTATATATCTGAAAGATATACTGTATATTATTTTTTTTTTGGTTTGTACCTTTTCAAGTTATTGTATCTGCAAATAAAAAATAGTAGATTTGTATTATGTTAATAAAAAAATAAAATATCATTATATATAGTTCAAAATATTATTTTATTATATAAATTCAACTGTTTAATTACTTATAAGCAAAGCTATAATAAATTTTATTGTTATAATATAACATTATAAAAAATAAATAAAAACAAAAAACAACATCAAATAAAAGAACTATAATAGTAAAAATATAAAATAAAGATCATTAATTATAAAAAATCACTTGTAAATTTAAAGAAAACTGCTAGTGCTAAAAAAATCGTTTTCTAAATAAATACATGAACCGAATTCAGACCATTCAAATATATACTAATTTAATAATTGTAATTTTGGATTTAATATTAAAAAAATCTTTTATACCATGATATTAATTACTAGAAACCTGATTCAATTTATTTTTTTTACAAATTTTAGATATATCATGATCATTAAATAATTTTCAAATACACAGTACGTGCTTATAAAAATTATTTAAAAAAATTATACATAAATTGCTTCTAAATATAAATTTTATATAAATTTCATATACAGTATATAAATTAAATTTGTTAAATAATATTATTCTATAATCGATAGGTACAGTATATACAGTATATTGTTTTTTATAAATAATAAGGATGTACATTTTAAATTCCTATTTTTAAGTTATGACAAGGTTTATAATTTCACCAATTTTGTCCAAAGACTTTAAACGGACTGCATTTATGCAGCATATATTACCACAAATTACAAATTATTCGATATTCGATATCCTGCTCTATTAAAAATCATCGATTGTTTGCTAAAACACAATCAAAAATTGAAATTGTTACGGTATGGCGAATATAAAATAATAATTTCCAATTGCTTGAATCGTTTTTTCCTTGATAAGCAGATATGCTTGAATAAAGAATATTTTAATTCCAATATTCCCCTTGCATGATAAGTATCAAACATGCAATACTGCCAAATTATATTTCAAATGACTTTAATTCACTCTTCCCACTTAAAGGTTTATTACGCATCTTTCTTATTTAAGTTGGTGAAAAAAAAAAAATCAATTGATTTTTTTAAATCGCCCTAAATCGTAGAATTCTCGAGGAAACAAATCGCATGACAATAATTATCGTATGCTATGCATTCTTGTTTTTGTAGATTTCCAATACGTATAGATTAGGTTTGACAACTCCTTTGTTAACTATTTCCATACCGCTATCCAAATTCGTAAATGATAAGTCCATTTTCGGCATATCACAATTAGTATTACGATGTATTACGATGTCTTACCAAGACATACGTATGCATAATCCGGAAATCGAATAACAAAATTGCACCAAAATCAGCAAAAAAGTGAAAGGAAAGAAGGAAATTGAATTTGTTTATCCGTTTAATACTGTAACTGACAATTTAGGATCGTCATTTACAATGCACATGTGACATGATAAGGTCTGGACAAGACTTAAACGAATTCTAAAAAAGTCAATATAGTATTTTGCATATACGTACAGTACAGTATTATTTTACATTATTATGGAACTACTTTATGTTGTATCCTTTTTATGTAGAATATAGGTTCTCGAGGGATAAAAATTCACATTAGATTATTTATTAAAATGTTAAAACATCATTGTAAATGGTGGAGAAAGGAAATAATACAAAATATATCAGTTGTCGTTATATGCTGATTGCACATGATTTTCGTCATCAACCCTATTAAAGTCATTTATTTCCATGTCCCAAATTTTACTCATAATCAAAAGAATGATCCCGGTTACGATAAAAGACCAAGAAAATCCAACAGCGCAAGACACTAGTTGTTTTAGTACTTGAATCCCGTTCCCATCTATGGCACCACCATCAATCATCTGATTATTGAGCATCGCAATCCTTTGATCGGCAAATACGCCAGTTAAAATATTTCCGATGATACCTCCCACCCCATGAATAGCGAAAACTTCGTTCTCATCACGATAAAAGTTTTGTTCTGTAGCCAGCTTGCAAATCGCTCCAGAAAGTAAACCAAAAATTAATGCGGCATATGGAGTAACAAAACCGGAACCTGGAGTAATAGCAACCAATCCCGCCAATGCTCCAGAACAAAATCCAACGGCAGATAATCTTCGCTCGCCTACTGGCATTTTAAAGTATTCAATAAACATCCAAGTTAGACCACCGGCTGATGCCGCTGTATTGGTTACAATGCAAGCCATGGTTGCCCTTAAATTTGCACCTAACGCCGAACCTCCATTGAACCCAAACCAACCGAACCAGAGAAAAACAGTACCAAGTATCACCTTGGTCGTATCATGAGGATGGAATCTACCACTATTCCTTCTCACTACCAAACAATATGCTAAAGCCGCAGCACCAGATGAAATATGAACTGGTGTTCCTCCGGCAAAATCGAGTACTCCCCATTCGTTAAGCCATCCATGATCCGACCAACACCAATAGGCTATGAAATCATAGACAAGCGTTGACCATATGAAAAGAAATATGAGAGCAGGAATCGTTCGGATCCGTCCCGATACTGAGCCAAATATTATAGATGGTGTGATCGCAGCAAACATTAATTGGAAGACGGCGTGGGTAAGTTTTGGGATTTTTTCATAATATTGGTTTTGACCACTTTGATGGGAAATTGTCTCATCTAGATCATTTATAAATAATGCGTCTTTGAGGTTTCCTATAAATCGACCTCCGGTATTGCTGAACGTTATAGAGTAGCCAAACAAGATCCACTGAAATTAAAAATTATTAGTTATCCTTTTAGTTATGCTTTCTCAAAAATCGTTAAAAAGAATTCGTGTACTGTACCTGAATTGACACAATAGGGATTGCCAAAGAGCACACCATAAGCGAGGATAGTGTACTGTTTCTTCGCGACATCCCACCATATACAAACGCGATTCCTGGAATCATAAGCCAGACCAAACACGTAGAAGCCAGGACCCAGGCAACATCGCCATTATTATAGCTGTCATTTGAAGTTGCGTTCGACGACATAATTAAGAACGTCAGGTTTTCGAAAAATGATAAGAACTTTATGTTATATACTGTAGAATACTTGTAGTACAATTTGTACAGTACCTTTATTATTATTCCCAGAAAGGCAATTTAATAATCGTTCCGGATAAAAATTTTGTGTCCTCCTTTATGACCTACCTGGTAGCATTATCTAACGCCACCCGTATGCAGTGCGTACATGGTGTTTGCTTACTCCTTTATCGTAAGCCTTATCGAGAGGAAAACCGGTTGAATATAATTCCTCAGAGTCAATGTTACCTACACATACAGTATATAATAGACAAGAAAATAGGGTTAAGAAGATCATTTAGCATTTAAAGAGTTTCACGTTTAGTAATAACTCCTACACAGAAGATGACTGACGATGAAAGAAGTAGTACTACTAGTTCGAATAATTATGCCCGGGATAATTATAATGTTGGCGGAGTTCCCGTTCCCATTCAGTATACAAGAAGACACCAAAATTTATTTTTTGCTTATGCTCATGGCAGCAATAAATTTCAAAGGGGAGAACTTGGTTTATCGAATAGTTACTTGGAAGGCTGTTTGGTCTTCAACTATGATAAAGCTGTTAAAATAAAATCCGTAATCCTCCACTTTAAAGGTATCGAAAAGGTGGAAGGAAACGGACCAGGAAATCGAGGTGGGACACGTACGTTTTCTAATGTCCACGTCTTAGCAGAAAGACACAAAAAACTTGACGTCAAACTATTAGAGAGAACAGCTAGTGGCGAACTTCCTTTTCATTTTCCGCTGCATTCAAACTTATCCAGTTCCTTTGGTATGAAGGTTGAACGTCCAAAAAATGACAACGTAGTTGCTGATTTTGCCAAAGCTCAAATCAATTATACTCTCAGTGCAACCGTCGAAACAGAGAAAAGGTTCATAAATACAACGGATTTAGTCGAGGTCAATTGCCCGTTGAAGCAGATATTGGCATTTTATGATATTATTCCTTTTACAAAAGTGACAGGTACCCATTGTTCTCCATCTAATAGACCTCTACTCAAATATTCATTCGATATTCCTGAGTATTTAGGAATCGGTACCGAAACTGCCATTCCGATAAGAATTAAATTAATCAAATCCAATGTCAAAATACTACGAATCGATGCGACATTGAGGACGTGTGTGGAATTATCTTTAGAAAATCAAGAGAAGATGCCCAAACAATGTGTTAAAGATAAACACAATATAGGTTCTGAAGTATTCAATTCACATACAGCTGAAAATGAAGACGAAATTTTGCAAATGCTCCCTTTGTTTATTCCAAATAATATACATGCTACTTATTTTGGTACATTCGTAATAATCAAACACAAACTTGACATAAAATTAAGACTAGAGGGAAGAGATTTAGACTTACGCAAGACTGTTCCGATAACAATAGCGACAATTAGAAATCAAGATCGCATGAACACACTCACTACACCTCAATCGGATGTAATTTCATATCAAGATTTTAGAAGTGAGAGAAGCGCTTTACGCCATGACGGTTCGAATAGTTCAGATTCCGTTAACGAAAAAAGAAGTAATACTCCGGATGAAAATAATGAGCAAACTCAGCATCCTGGGTATACATACGAGGGAAAACGACGAAATTCAGAAGTTTCACAGGTCTCTTCTAAACCGGGGGTAACTGAGATAAAGCAACAGCAATTTTCTTAGTTGCAAAATAATCGATCTGATAACGTCCAATTCATAATTAACGTGTATGATATTATTAATGAACTTAATACTTTTGTAATTTTATTTTCATCACTTTCATTTCATTATAAATAAACATGCATAAACAAATATATCCTTACATGAAAAGTGTATCTTGTTATCCACGTAAAGCTTTCGTGCGTGATATGATAATGACAAGAATTCTCAAAATTTTATTGCTGCAAGGGATGCTCAGCAGTGTATCGACGAGCAAAACCGAGTTGACCTCACGAGTGATAAAATATACCTATTTCTTGCATTAAAGAATCTTCTAAAATCGAAGAAATGCAATTTATATTATAAAGTAAAACCAATAAATGCACATTATCGTATAGAATTTTACTTTTTTAAAATGTCATTTTTGATCGAAACAATATTATTATTCGCAAAAAAAAAAAAAGTACGTCATAATGCTACGATATTAAAAATGAAAAAAGGTTTTAGCGTACGTGTACTGCCATGGATACAGTTTTTTAAAACAATATACCTAATTTTTCTAATTTTTTTTTTAATAAAATTATATCTTGTTACTTATTATAAAGGTATGAGAAATTCAAAATCCCAAAACTTTTTTATTCGCGAAATACAGTACCCATCATGCAATGAACCCAACGAATTATTCGTTTTAGGAAATACTGTATGATTTTTTTTTTTTTTTGGATTTCATTTATTTCGGATTACTTTTAAAGTTAGCATTTAGTGAAGTGATGCGAACTTCACTAACCAATTATACTAGCAAATATTTTGATTTCGTAATTTCTTTGAACTTTTACAAATAAATAAATGATTACAACCTATTTACATTACGTATACTGTATTTATTTTTATTTTGACAAAATAAAACCTTTTATTTATTTGTCTTTGACACGATGATATTCGGCATACTGTAATTCAGGGCATGTGACAAATGGATCACTACGTTATTTTTTTGGATGCTGTGTTCTGAATGTGATCGACATTAACTAACTACACTTAGGAACAAAAAGCGTACGTACATGATTAACGAAAATTCGAGTGCTGGTAAGTATAGTTGAACCAAGGCTAACTTTATTTTATATAACTGTATTGGAGTTTGTTGGATAACATTCTTATAATAATAAGCTATAAACTAGTTCCTTTAGAATACGAATGGTTGGAAGAAGAAATAAAGAATGGCCGCGTCAATTCCTTTAACTATAATCAATTCACCATACTCAAAGAAATCGGAACGGGTGGATTTGGTATTGTAGAATGTGCGGAATGGAAAGTCTTTGAAAGAAAGGTTGCATTAAAACGTTTAAAAAATAGTCAACCGCAGTTAGACGAATTGTCTTTGAAGGAATTCATACGTGAGGTAGAATTTTATCAGACGAAAGTACTGCATTTCAGAAAAAAAAATTCAAATTATTAATTTGTTTCTCTTAATTTTATTAGATAAGGCTTCTTCGAAAGATTTCGGTGCATCCTAACGTTATCAAGTTTCTTGGAGTAACGAAAGGTCCATAACGGTTGTTTCTTTCAATTTTTAGATGTCTACTAACATTTTCCTAACAAACTATCTTCACAGATCATGAAAGGAGGCAATACATGTTCGTCCTGGAACATGCAAACGAAGGCAACCTCCGTGAATATTTGACAGTTCATAAAGATTCTCTCAGATGGGCGGATAAACATCGAATGTCCCTGGAGATTGCTGAGGGTTTACGCTACTTGCATTCAGAAAAAATTATCCACAGAGATCTGGTGACTAATGTTCATGCAAGTTTACTAGTTTGGTATTAATTTAACCATAACTAAATAACAATATTTTTTGTTTAGCATTCCAAAAATATCTTGGTTCACGACGGTAGAATGATAATAACTGATTTTGGACTTTCAAGATGTTTGGACGAGAATTCAATGACATCGACTTCAAGTCTCAAAGGAATGATGGGATTTGTGGATCCTCAATGTTACCTTACTCCCGGGTTTATAAGAAACGAAAAATCTGACGTATACAGTTATGGTGTTATTCTATGGGAGATTTCCAAACCAACAAAAAATGTTCCTCTGAAATTCATTGAACTTTATAAGAGATGTCAGAGCGTTAATCCAGATAAACGTCTGAATATTGATGAAGTAATTGTTCTCTTAAAAGATTATAATATGGAAAATGAGAAAACATTAAATGCAAATCTTCTCAGCCCAGGTACTTTATCTTGCAATCAAACAGACTCAGTATCAATGCCACAAGAAATTCGTAAACCGGATGAATTTACTCTTCAATATCAACGCGATAAGGCTCATGCGTCTTTCGCCGCAGGAAACTATTTGAAAGCACTAGAACTCTGGGAAGAAGTTCTTAAGAATCCTCAACACACACCAGAAGATCAGAAAAATGCCTCCATGTGGCATCTGCATGGAAAGCAGCTAGATGATTCGGCTGGTGCATCTCTGGCCAAAGTTTTATGCAAAAACACTACTCTAACTGATCTTGATCTGAAGTCCAGCAAACTGGGTGATTCGGCTGGGAAAATATTAGTTGAGGCTCTATGTAAAAATAATACTCTTACTAATTTGGATCTATGCTGCACTCAACTGGATAATTCCATGGGAAAAGCGCTAGCTAAGTCCCTAAGAAAAAATACGACCTTGGCCACCTTAGATCTCAGCAGTAATAAACTGGGACGTTCGGCAGGAAAAGCCTTGGCTGAAGTTTTATGTAAAAATACCAATCTAACTAGCTTAAATTTGTCATCTAACAGACTGGACGATTCTGTGGGGGAAGCATTAGCCGAGGCTCTTTGCGAAAATGCAACCCTGACGAATCTAAATTTAGAATTCAATCTACTTGGCGACTCGACAGGGAAAGCTCTAGCAAAGACCTTGGGAAAAAATACTACTCTAACTAACTTAAGCCTGGGCGGTAATCGACTATGTAAATTGACTGGGAAGGCGCTTGCTGAATCCTTGTGTAAGAATAATACCCTAACTAGCTTGAGTCTAAACAACAACAATCTTGATAATTCAGCAGGAAAAGCATTAGCTGAGGCATTGAGAAGTAATGATACTCTGAAAATTTTAAATTTAAAATATAATAAATTAAGTGATCTGGCGGGAACTGCATTAGCCGCGGCTCTGAATACGAATACCACCTTGGTTGATTTAAATTTATACGGAAATCAGTTAAGTGTCTTGACAGGAAAAGAACTAGCCGAATCTCTGTGTAATAATACTACTTTGGTTAGTCTAGATCTAAAATATAATCAACTAGGTGATTCTGCAGGAAAGGCATTGGCCAAGGCCTTATGCAAGAATACGTCCCTAAAAAATTTGAACCTGGGATCTAACAAACTAGGCGATTCAACAGGAAAAGCTTTGGCCGAAGCTTTATGGAAGAATGATATCTTGACTAATTTAAATTTAGGACATAATACGCTGGGAGATTTGGCGGGAAAAGCAATAGCTGAGGCTTTATTTAATAATACCACCCTGACTAGCTTAAACATGTATGGCAATCAGCTAGGGGTTGAGGCAGGAAAAGCACTGGCAGAGTCCTTATGTAAGAATGACACCCTGACTAACTTGGATTTAAAATATAATCTACTAGATGATTCAGTAGGAAAATTGCTTGCCGAGGCATTATGCGAAAATACCGGTCTGATCAATTTAAATATAGGTGCCAACCAACTAGGCGAATTAACAGGAATAGCGCTTGCCAATATGTTATGTAATAATGAAACGCTGGTCTATTTAAACTTGAAATATAATAATTTCGATGATTTTGCGGGAAAAGCTTTATTTGAAGCTCTATGCAAAAATTCTGCATTGACACATCTAGATATTAGTGGAAACCAACTAAGTGACTTGACGGGAAAAGCACTGGCAAAGGCTCTGTGCGAGAATTCCACATTGAAAACTTTAAGTCTAAAAAGTAACAATATAGGGGACTCGATGGGGGATGCTCTTGCGGAGGCTCTTTGTATAAATGCAACTGTAACAGATTTGGATCTTTCGTGCAATAAACTTGGAGATATAACAGGGAAAGCACTGTCTGAGGCCTTACATAAGAACTCTACCTTGATCAGCCTCAATATAGAAACTAATGAATTGGGAGACTCAGCAGGTGAAGTTCTTGTTCAATCATTGTACAAAAATACCACACTTTCCAGCCTAAACATTAGTAATAACCAACTAGGCAAGTTGACAGGAATGACTCTTTCTAGAGTGCTGCGTGAGAACACCACATTGACCAATTTAAGTTTAAATAACAATAACATGAGCGACTCTATCGGAGAAGCGTTGGCTGAGGCTCTCTGTGAAAATAATTCTATAACCAATTTGAATATGTATGGAAATGAGTTTGGTCAGCTAACAGGAATGTCAATGGCCATGGCTTTATGCAAAAACACCACTTTGGAAAATCTAGATCTAAAGTATAACCATCTAGATGATACGGCTGGGAAAGCAATTTGTAAGGCTCTGTGCGAGAATACAACCCTGACTTGCTTAAATCTCAAACATAATCGATTGGGTGATTCAACGGGGGAGGCATTAGCCGAAGCTTTATGTAGTAATATCTCTTTGACTGATTTAAATCTAAAATCTAATAAGTTGGGTGATATATCAGGGAAGGCGCTTGCCGAAGTTCTGTGCAAGAATATTACTTTAACCAATTTAAATTTGGAGTCTAACCAGATAGGTGATTTGGCGGGAAACGTGCTAGCTGATGCACTGTGCAATAATAGAGCTTTAACAAACTTGGATCTACAGAATAATCAGCTAAGTAGAGAGGTTAAACGTAAGATCAGGAATAGTAATAAATTTGCAAAAGTCTAAACGCAGAAATTAAATACATAATAATATAGACAAGAAAGAACCTCAAATTATAGAAATCCGTCAGCATCTAAATTATAATAATATAAAATTGTTTATATTCAATTTAACTACAGTAGCTATGAATTTAGTTAGGTTGGTAAAAATAATCGGGGTGTAATGTTAATCACTCAGATAAGATAATTTCTAATTAAATGAATCACTAATAATTGTTGGTCGTACCTTGGTATGGCTGATTTGTTTAAAAGTTGTTTATTGAATTTTAGTATAATTATAATTATATTATTTATAACATTGTATATGTATAATCATAATTATATTATTTATAATATTGTATATTTATAAGTAAACATATAACATACTGTAATTGTCGGACCAATAAGTCTGTTCATCAACCAATAATAGATCATAAGAACTATTTTGATGGTTTATGTGATAATATTTTCACGAAGAATACCAAGCTTCTCTTAATTTTCTACTTCATATTTCGTCTCTCCCATCAAAAAAAGGCATACCTTCCATATATCACTTTCTATAATCAAAATATGTATATTCACTTTTTTCTTTCAATTTATGAGATAGTACTGTATGATAACAATTTATGAACTAGCATACTATTGTTAATCTGTGCCAAGCAACTATTTATTATTAAAAAAAAAATCTAAAAATCTTTAAAAATAAAATTATTCCAAATATTTTCAAATATTTATAAAATCTTTTAAAAGATCTCTAAAGAAACTTTATTTTTATTTTTGAGATAGAAGATGCATGCAGCACATGGTTTTTATTGAGTAATTTATATTCAAATATATGGTTACAATATTCATTTAAGTCAACCCACCCATATTCATATTAAACCTAGCAACATAGTATACACTCTTAAGGTAGATTCTCATTTTTCAGGTGGAACCTATCTAGGAGATGAATATTCTATCACTAGTTTTAAACTACCTAAACTATTAATCCAGTTAACATTCAAATAGGGTGTATTAATGGAGTTAACTCTAAATACCCTGAGTCTTCTTTACTTGATTAGGCTAGAACCAATTACAAAAGAGAAAGTTGTTGATTGGAATTGGTTAGGATGGAATACAGTCCAATCTGTACATCCAACTATATCCCATTCTTGCTTGCCAATAATAATAATAAAACTAACGAGATAATTATTGTGTTACTATATCTTTATTCCTAAAGAAATTTTATTTTTGAAGACTTTAAGAATTATTAAGTTATTTTACACTTCTCTACAATTTTTTAATAGTAATATTAAATACTAAAAGTTATTATTCAAAAAATTTTCTTAAAATACATTATTATAATATTATAGAGGTTTATTTTTTATTAATATAATTTCTTTTTTTAAAAAGTATTGATATTCATAACATTCTTAATATTTAAATTTAAAATTTGTTAAAAAAATTAAAAAAAAAATATTATTAAAAAACTTAAGCTCTTTCATATAACTTGTAATTATTTATTAATGATCTTATAAAGCTGATAAATTTTAATTAAAAAAGAAATTTTGCTAGATTTATATTATAAAAGTATTAAAAAATTTAAGTAATATAATTATATGGATTATTATTTAATTAAGATTTAATTGAAATTTAAAAATTTTTTTTACAAATATAAAATATATATATTTTTAACAGGTAGCTTACACCTTGTTTATTGAATATTGTATTAAGTGTTTTTACAAATTTTTACAAATTTGAAACTCTATCTATTTCCTAAATTCATTAAAGGTTTCTCTTACCATGTGACTTATTGCCAAAAATTGATATATTTTTGACTAATTTGTCAAGAATCTACCAATTCCTATTAAAAGAAATTCTATAATTATAAAGTATGTCCCAGTTTATTCAATTATTAGTTACATAACTTATAATTGAGTTGATTCCTGGTAGATGTGATTTTATGTTTGTTCTTTTATATGTGTTTGTTGTCTATTTTCATTTATTTTGTTTGATTATATTATTTTCTTCTTCCTATTTTAAGAAGATTTCATTGCATTGCATTCAGATTTTTTTTAAGCTATTAAGGACTTTATTTAAAATTTTTTAATTATTTCTTTTTATTCTATTAAGAGTATGAATTCTTTAATTATGGAGATGATTTTGTAAATTAAGACTTCTCTTATAACAAGATTTTTTGTTTCTTTAGACTAACTTTGAACATGTTGACTAATTTTTTTAAAAAGTTGTGAACCTGTTGATTTTGTTGTTCTGCCTATAATTTCTTTATTGATTATTTGTATAATTGTTTTTGATATATTTTTTTTGTTGCTTTTATAGATTATTATATATGTATTAGTCTTTGTAGCTTTGTTACATCTAGGGCATATATTATTTAGATAAACTGTAGGGGTGCATTTGTAGAGTTTGTCTTTGAAGAAAGTTCTAAGTTTCGTAGTTTAAGACAGAAGCTT